TGCTTCCTCATATCTGGTTTCTAAATCCTTACCAAGATGTGATCGGGTTTTTTAAAACCGCGACAGGTTAGTCTCAAACTCTTGAAGCAAAAGTCTACTTTAAAGGAGGGTGGGGAGAGGGAGCCTTCTCACAAACCGCCCCCCACCCCCTAAGTAGATTTGACACTCATCCAGGAAGGCCGCGAGATATCGTGTGATAACAGGTTTGTAGTATGAAATCCGTTAGTGAAAATCTAAAAGCGTAAACGTAATGGGTGTGGTCGCAAAACGAGTGCAATCAAGCTTCGTTAATACGGACACCAAAGGGACAGAGCCTAATGTCCGATATACAGAAATACAGGTCAGGAGTTTGTTACCTCAGAACCTGCAATAGAAAAGGTGTGCATAAGGAGAATTTCGACTGTTTATGGGATCCTGAATGGTGCACCTTATAAGAATCCAAGGTTAGTTTCATTGCCAGCCTGCAAGTCTACTTTTTGAGGGAAGCTTTCCCTACTGACCTATTACTCACCCAAAAAAGGACTTCAAAAAGTTTCTGCCAGCAGTTACAAAAAGAAGTTTGCATTCAAATTTACACTCCCTGAATCCCTGTAAACTTAGAAAATCGATATTAGCTACTATATGCAGTCTAAATCTTTGTTTTGAGAGTCGTGATTTAGACTGGGCAAGCGCGCTCCGGAGGAGAAGAATTTTTAATAATATAAAGTCACTGCGGTAAAACAACAATAACTGAAAGAAAGGAAAGAGGAAGGTGATGACAAAAGTGAAAAGAAATAAGAAACAAATTGCAGGAAGGAGCTCGAACTTTTGCAAACAACCGCTACGAAAGTTATCAAGTTCAACGCTGTAGCCCGACTTCATAGTGGCGTACTGTCCTATGCCGAATTAATCGACTACGGCAATGCCGCAACAATTCAAACACTTCAATATCTATATGATGTCCTCCCCCGGGGCTTTATGACAAAAAAATGACTTTACCCTCGCGAAACCAGTTAATTTTGTTTTCTTGAAATCTCAATATTTTCCAGTAGGAGGAAAACAAAATCAACTGTTTTACCTGGAACTCAGTCGTTAAGTGTTCCGGCTGTATCAAGATTAATTAACCACTCCTCAGAAATCCAATTAATGCTCGCGCTTGAAGGAAGCTACGTTAATGGAAATTGTACTGAAGAAGCAGATTGCAAAGAGAACATGCCTGCCAGTCAGCTTAGTCGCGAATGGAGTATTGGACAGTTAAAAATAAATGTTCAAACCCTTGTTAATTTCCGTTAATCCTGACTGAATACTTAAAATCTATGCCACACTTAAAATGTATCCAACTATAGAAGCTCATTCTTTATTTCGACACGGTACAATCTTCACCAAAATACAATGACTGCTTAATATATGGATTAACACTCAATAATAACAGTTAACTGAAAAACTGATTTACATCAGGATTGCCGCCAAGGAGTATGTGTTACCATTGGTTTAAAAACCTGCTGAATCTCTGCCCAAGTGTTCCTATTCTACATATTAACCTCTTGGGCAAACTGTTCCACAGGGTCGGCCCAGTTTAGCTAAAATCTTGTTTTAGGTTTTAGTGCGCGTAGTGTGCAAATTTTGATTTCTTTTCGTATCGTTTAGGTTATACTGGCTATTGCTAATGGTTAAAAAACTTTGTATTTAAACGGTAGATATAGGCATATTTTTATCCCCTAAAAACTTTTCATCTGTTCGGATTTCCTAGCTGAAAGTCTAGTGATCCGAAAATTATAGGGATCAAAACTTACCTTTTCGAAAATTTCAGCCAGGAAAAGGCTCCCGAAAATTCTAGGTGGCCTTTTTTAGGGTAAATATCGGTTTAAAATGGGTAATTATACCATTTTGTAGATGTTCGAAAATCCTAGGAGAGGCAAGCAAGCAAGAAATTTTACAACAAATGTTCCGAAAATTCTAGTTCTCAAATCGTCTTCCGATCAGATATTTTCCCGAAAATTGCCGTTGGGTGCCCCTGAACACTTATGGTTATTAAAAAACTACTCAAGTTATTCAGCTACAGTACAGCTTTCTCTTATTAAAAGTCAACTATACTAACTCGAAGCTAACTCCAAACTGTACGCAGGTAATGTCATAAAAAACACGGTACAACAACAACAACAAAAAGAAAGCTGGAAAAAGTAACAAAAAAAAGAAATTGATAAATCAACTGATCTCGTGCGCCTTTGAATCAAGTTTTTGCGCATAAGACTTTTCGCTGTAGATGTTATATTTAATGCTATGTTCACACTATACCAGAAAGGTTTTCGTGTTGAGACGAAAAGCTATCCCATAATACAGTCAACTCTCTTTATAGCGGACACTGTAGGGACCTCGAGTTAGTGTCCTCATTAGCGAGAATCCGTAATAGCGAGAGTTCATTTCAGTCAAACGTCTGTAATATATTTTTGCAGGGGATTTAGCTGCTGTCCGTATTATCGGTATGTCCGTTATAGCGGGGTGTCTGCAAGACGAGAATTGACTGTAGTGTGAACACGTATCTGATATGGTACCCAGTCCACCTTAGAGATCGGCGCGGCACAGCTTCGCTTTGTTACAAAAATGGCGCCGACCAACGACCGTTCTTAGGTGTTCATCCGGTTTGGTTTTCATGCTGGGGCAAAAGCTATGCGATGTAGTGTGAACATAGACTAAGTTGTTCTCTTTATGATATTTACGCAGTGTCACATTATTCAGTGTCAAAAGTGGTCAGTAACCGATGAAAAACAACACAGCGATCAAATGCGAAAATCCAACCAACTTTTTATACCCTAAGTGAATGTAGCTATGGAAATATGAATCTGTCTGTAAGAAACTACGAAACAAAAAATCGACCGTGAAAAACAAATAGCTAACAGTTCTAAATTGTTCTTTCTTCAGTAGATAAGCCAAATATTAATTGTTAAACACGGCTTAAAGTTTAAGGGTGAATTTCCACTGTCGCATAAATTTTACGTGCTCTCGCACGCAAAATTTACATGTGTAAATAAAAAAGACGGAAATGTATGAAAGGCCGCGCGTAAACGTAAAAGTTGAGCGAGGTGTAACTTTTATATTTACGCGCGACCTTCCATACATTGCCTCTAATTTATTTACACACGTAATTTTTACGCGCGTACGCACGTATCGGATTAGGCGACAGTGGAAATCCACCTTAAGGCTGGTTTACACTCACGACGCACGCACAAGCAACATGCGACCATACACAGATTCAGCAGCTTGTTGACAATATTAATTTCTATTTCCCTACGGAAAGTATCTGAAAATATTGACTATGCTTGCATCATACTGCATAATCCCTAAGCCGCATCTCCTCGGAAAACACTTCAAAATTTATCAAGAACTGCGCATGGCAGGCACATTTATCCTTGGTGTTCACTCAAGCAACATTAACAAGCTGTCGCATGTGAGCGGTGGTGTTAGTGCTTGTTGCCATGACAGCAGTAGGGCCAACTGCAGGTGTAACGAGGACAGCACCTTGATTTGCTGGGCGGGACCTGCAGCAGCAACAGTATATGACAAGAATACAGATAACCAATAAAGGTCCACCAATCACTGCTGCCTTTGTAGCATCGGACAAGTCGTACCACCACTTGAACATCCCTACAACAAAGAACACATATACAGCACTACTTGAAGACATGTTTAAACAAATTAACCCCGCCCTCAAAAAACATCTATTACAGATCAGTCTCGTCGTCCATTTCTACCCTCATCCAAGGACAGGACACTGGAAACATAAGGAATGATATGACACTCCTCAGATAGTGATGATATCCACTTTAATTTCGGCTTCATAGTTTATATATAATCGACATCATGGTGACAGCAGATGCTATGATTGTTTGACACCGCCTCTCAACAATGTTGTGAGACTTTGTAACGACTTATTGAGAAGAGGTTGAACTGTTTAAACTTTGTCACAACATATTGTCGTAATGTTCATCGTCAAAAAGGTCCACCAATCATGCGATCACTGCTGCCTTTGCAGCATCGGACAGGTCGTACCACCACTTGAACATCCGAAGGTTGTCAGAAAGTTGCCACAAGGTTGTCACGACATTTCTTTTTTGTTCTCGAAATGTTTAAGCTGTTTGACATACTCCCACAACGCAAGCGCAGTGTCACTAATTTTCTTTTGCGATAGTGAATATGATCAATCTCTCGTACTCAGATCCCGCTTTCCGGTTTGGTCAGCACCAAGAACGTCCCGATATTTGCGCATGACAAAAAGCGACCCCTGTAGACGAGATTGAAACATGATTATCCTATTCATATGTTTGTTGAGGCAATGTCGTAAGTGTTCGACCGTGGGAAAAAGTCTGATTTTTTTTTAAGCTCCGTTTCCTGCTTAGGGAAAGGATCTGTTTTAATGGGCCTGTACTGGCTCCTTTTAGGACAGCGTGTTTATTTTAATATGCATGCACTCTGATACCTGTACATTTTTCATAGCTAGGCTTCCTTACATCTACGGGTCGATACGTGAGCCATTGTTCTACTACAGACCTGGTGAAAATCTTCTCTCCTTGCAGACCCTAAAATTTAGGGGTATCGTTCTTTTTCCGTTAATGCTCCAGAACTGCTAATATTTTCAATGTATGATGGTAACTTCCGAGTCGGTAACAGCCTTGAAAATATTTTTTCTAATTTGTTACTTTTTTCTGGCCAATCGGTAAGTGATAACTGAACAGCAATGATATATGTGCCATATAAGAAAATTAATTGATAGGCTGCGTGGCGTTCGAAAGACAAGGGAAACGGAATTTGGGCGCGAGGTTCCCCTCCCTCCTTCCTCGCGCGCCTCTTGCCCTCAGTCTCACGTGCCCAAAATCCTCTTTCCCTTTCGAATGCCTGCCGAGTTAATTGACGGTAACTTAATGAAGAATTACTGTGTTCTGTAGCGTAAAAATTATTCCTTGCGAATGCAAGTTCTAAAAGGCGTTACACACATTTCTAGTTATAGTTATGATCAGTATACCCACCACAATCGTTAGTTGAAATCGGCAAGTCTCCCTCCTCACAGTAACTTTCACAGGATAAACACCTTTGCCCAACACTTCTCCACCGGCCAGTAGCTTCACCTATTAAAAGACAGAACTATTTCGAACTTATTGATTTTCTTTTTCCTGCTGGCAGAATCTCCCTCTCCAGAGAACTCTGGCTTTGAGTCGTTTAAACGATTGATGTTGGGCGCCGCATGCGTTAGTGTCACTAAGCGCTCAAATTTTCACTTTAGTTTTAAATTCTGTTGCACATGAAATTAAACTCGGTAATGAACTTGAATTAGCGTTGAATGCCGGGTTGTTCTGGACTATTTTCAGTCTATTGCTCATAAAATTGTTTATCGCCAAAGTTTATAATCCTGCTGAAATTCTTAAATATATTCCTTCACTTTCTTTACTGTTGTTAAAAAATTACAACTTTGGCTGCACGTTTTTCTAAGGTTTCCCTATCTTGACCGTTGGAGGCAGTGAAGTACTGTTTTTTCCTTTGTTTTGATGGAAAGCACATGGCCAAATGAGATGGAAATACGTGACCGTATTCGAATCTCAAAAGGCACGGCATCCAAATGAGCACCGCACCAACAATATGAAAACTTTAAAAGCTTTCGATTATATACGGTAGCTGAATTCACTCCTTTACAATGTTCTTTAATGTTTGACGTCACATAACGTCCTTTTTAAAATTGAGGTCACACTACATTACAAGTCGCTTTACATCAGTACTTGCCTTAAGATGCAGTCTGTCCCCGTTGTCTTTGAGTTGAACTTGAACGTACACTCCAGCGGAGAAAATAGAAGGTAAAGATACAGTAAATCCGGGCACTTTAATGATGTCGTCACTGGTGTAGGCGTGAGACCACGTGACACGCAAATCCGGGACATTCATAGAGGCCGTTACAGTGACGGGTTCATCACATTTGTTAATCTGGTTGGTAATGATTAAATGCCAGTTTTTCTTAGTGGTGAATGATAGTACATTTGTTTATACTGGATATGAGTTTCATCCTTTATATGGTAACTTATTGACCCTAAAAGGTCACTGACAACTGAGACAACAAATGTACCTTTGACAACAATTATGATTCATTTACCATTCATAAAACTAAGTTCTTTTAACTGTTCTTTCTTACTGTTCTTACTAGGCCCAAGAAAAATTCGAACCTGATGCAAATGAGCAAAATCTATCGGTTTGGCTTACTATTAGCATTAGGCTCTTCCCCATGTGACGTGGGCCTTACAATATTAGTAATAACCCACGGGTTTTGTCGGTTATCAATGCGGAGTTGAATCCGATTGACATTCAACTTGACTTACTTGACTTTACGTAAGTCAATCGCCATTTTCAAATTGCCCGGCCTGTACTATACTTTGTTTGCCCGCGCCCCCTAGAATTTTACAAAGGCATTGTTTTGAATCACTCTTGTGAAGAATGTAATTAATTATACCCAGTAAAAATTGGAAACAATGCTGAGTTATGCAAAATTTTGAGCGGAGACAAACAAAGTTAAATAGTTATGGACAATACGAAATTGACGAATCCCGAGAAAGATCATAATACTCTTTAATGCGCAGGCTTTGTCTTGCCCCAGTCGTAACTCTGAATTGAAAACAGATGGAATGCAGGCTTCAGAACCCAAGGAAGACAAGAACTGAACCACTTGTACAGGTGCCTTAGTTTCCAGAGGCGCTGTCTACGCACGGTATGTTCAGCGACTGCAGCTGGTGTTAATCAGTAGAACAAATGACATAAACCTCCCTCGGAACATGAGGCTTAAACCTGTTACATCGTTAAAGGTACGGAAAAACGGGCAACAAAAAACGTACAACTTGTTTTGCAACATTGCTGCAAAAGGAGATGAAAGGAGATGTTGCGCTTTTTACCACCCACGTTCAAACCTGTTAACAACCTGATTTGTTACAAGACAGGTTTGATGTGGGTGGTAAAACGCGCAACATCGCTGTTCAACTCGTTTTACAGCAATGTTGCAAGACAAGTTGCGCGTTTTTTGTTGGCCGTTTTTCCGTACCTTAAGCATATTTTGCGGGTATTTATAGAAAATGACTATTGATACCTTGAGTTTGAATGTGATTGGCTTCTCAACAAAATTCATCTTGCACGTGATCGTGCTGCAGTCGTCACTGATCGTGCAGCCTTCGTTTAGTGTCTGGGACATACCGGAACATGAAGCTCCTGCAAAGTACAGATAGTCAACCCTCGCCATAATGACGTTGTTAACTGACAGCGGCATTATGTAGGCTTGCATCTTGCTTCATATCATTCATTAAGGGCTTTGAACACATAACAAAATATTATATAGCTGAATAATTTCAGTGGTGATAAAAATCATATACCGCAAAGTTACGTTACCTCGTTTAATACTCTCCAAAACCGTATTTCATTTGTCAGGAAACAAAAGATGTAAAGTACGGGTAAGAATTTTCGTTGAGTTTCCAAAGTTCAAGTCAAAACTGTTCAGAGAAACGAGTAGGCTCGTTTGAACAGATATTCCAATCCCTCCACCGGAATGATTCGCGTTAGATGCCCATGGTAAAAGGTAAAAATGAGCCGAAAAGAAATCTAATCAGACATGCAGCTCAAAGCCAAAACCACAATGTACAAGTCTGTAACAAATACTTAAGTAATGATTAAGGAGGAGTCGGGAAAAAACACCTGGCGATAATGAATGCACCGATCTACTAACTAAAGGCTTCAGAAACAAAGACGGAAGCTTCTGTAGGCATATAATCTGTAAATGCACCTTATACTAACGAGGGAAAATAGTCATTGAATTTACGAGCGATATGTCACATGGCTTGCCGATCAGTGAGGTACATTTACAAGATTGTCAAAGAATTTTAGTGACTCTTCTAGAAGAGGAGAACGCAAAACTGACCGCTAACATAGACTGATCAGAGGGCACTGTTATTAGACTAGCAAGCACTGCCTTTATTTATTATTATAAAGTCGTGAGCCAGGTCAGTAATGATTGAAATGATTGCCACGGATCAATGTTCGACCATTCAAGTCGAATATCTAACTGTTATCACCGTGAACGAAATGCCCGAACTTCGTTGGTTATACAGGCGTAATCTCAACATTACATTGGAAACTATGATCCTATCTTAATCAGATCAGAAATTGCATGATGGTGTCAAAAACTGAATAATAAAAGAATAGAAATAACTAATGAAGTTTCAAACACGAGGCGTCTTAAAAAATCACAAATTGCGAGTTTGTTGCTTCAGAAACTGGCTACAAAACAAACCATGTTGCAGAACTGTTAATTCCTCAAAAATTGGCATGTTTTGGAAGGCCCAAAAATGAAAGAAAAAATCAGGCGATATGTTTAAGAGACTTAACTTCCTTGTATTTTCAACATAAATTAATAATTTTTTCGGTCTTGTAAACCAACACGACAAGAACGTAACAACTGTGTTTAACTCGTCTTCAAACCCGTGAGATATTAAAATATCGTTACCAGCCTGCATCAGAAAAATCTAAAATAATAAGCACTGAGCATTTCCACTGTATGATCTCCTCAGAAGCGATCGAAGATTCAAGATGCCAGTGATTGAGCATTAAACCAAACACTGAGTGACTAGAAAGGATAATAAAGTTTCTCTAGATTTCATAACAACTCATCGTAGTCAAGTGTAATTTCGTGGCTAGACAGGGTGAGATACTGAAGTCCGCTTTTCAGCATATAAAGAAAAATAGTTTATTGGATGATTCCTTAACACATTTACATGAGTAGGTGACCGCATTATTTTCTGTTCGGTAAAAGGTACGCTCCTGTCAGTAAGCAAAGTCAAAGTTATTTTACTAGATAGATCTCTCGAATTTTTGGTGGCCAGAAAAAGGAGACGAGATCTGTGCAACGCTTATAGCCTTGTATGCCACAGTGCTATGACAGATTCATTTTATCTATAAACCACATGAATAATGTTACTGACCTGCAGTTGAAGAGAATTCTTGAGTAAAAACAATAACAAAAAGTCCAATAAGTAGTATTTCTTCCGAAGCCATTATCACAAATTACCCTGTCTTCAGAGCGCTCATGAGAAAGAAAACTTAAAAAATCAGGCACCCAAAGTAATCACGAATAAGACTGAACACAAAAGTTCCACCGTTCCTCGACCCGTCTTGCCTTCAAGTTCATTGGCAGGGTGACTTAGAACATTTCCTGTTTGACCGGTTTTGAGGTATTCTTTGAACAGAGGCAAGTTTCTCGGAAATGATTCATTGTACCGTGACGCAAAATAATGCTTATTTACTTTTCCCAGAGGCTTATCTAAGTCCACTTTAAAAAGGGTGAAGTCATATATACTTGCTGAGCATGAGCTGTCTTGAGAAAATTCTTTTGAATACAAACCTTAGCTTTTAAAGTTTGGAATATGTTTGCAAAAATCCAAAAGTGAACCGAATGGGGAAAAAACGGAAAACGCTGGAGTACAATCATCAAACCTCTTTATTACGAACAGCAAGGGGTGGTTGCCAACTGTCCGCATTATCGCGCGTGCATTAACAAAATGTCAACACAAATTTAATAAACAAGTTCGGACTGTATGAAGTTCTGTGACCTCGGAATCAAGAGAAATGTCTGCAGTAGAAAAGTCTGCATAAGGAGAGTTTCGACAGTATTGGTTATGGGCTCCTGATTGGACAGTTAAAGGCTATACCTTGGAACTTAGGTTAGTTTCACAGCTAGCCTAAAATTTGCGAATAGTTCGACATTTTTTGTCGATTGACGAAGTCGCGGGAAGTTTTTCCTCCCGACCTATTAACTACAAAAAAAAAGGACTCTAAGAAAGTCTCTACCAGCCTCCTCGCAGTCACCCTACTATAGCTAATACATAGATTTAGCCAAAGCTAACAGCGAAGTTCTCGTTTATACACTTTAACAAAAAATAAACTTGAAAGCACTGCGAAGAAATCTTTTAAATCTGTGCTTAATATTAGTTCTATCACAAACATGCAAGGAAACTGAGCCATTCTAGCCGCAAAAAAATGTCAAGCGTGTGAAATGTTATCGCGTTTAGAAACAAAAGAAAGCACACTGCATGTAGAACTGTATTTATCAAAAATCAAAAGGTCTAATTAGCAAAAAAACAACTTTGCAAGTGCATCACATTTTTTGGTACATTTCTTTGTCGTTTTCACGACTACAACCAATGTGAAACTTGACATGGATGAAATGTGGTTTGTGCTCAAAACCTTATTTTTATAGGTATTAAGACGTGCAATAGGCAAGTTTAATTTGCTCTTTGCATCCGTAAGGCCATGCTGACCGTGATTGCCTTTGTCGGTTCGGCACAGTTACCTAATGACGTCACAATGTTGATAGCATGGTGCTCTCGATGAAGTGATGACTTTATTCCGAAATGTCAAAGCCCTAAGTAACAAACTGGATATGCTAATTTACTGTACATTGCAATAGGCTACATATGCTAATTTGCTGTGAATTACATATGCACGTGCAACAACAACTTGGTGCCATTATTCTTTGGTTTGTAGTTGTGACACACCCAGAGTTCCGCGCGATGACCTCGAGTTCAAGAGTACACAAAATGGCGGCCGCCGGGCAAGAATTTTGCAAGGTTTTCCTTTACCAGTAGAAAAGTTGGAGCAAGAATGACAGTAATTTTCAGGTATTTTGATTCTCTTTACGTAAATTTTTAGTCAGTCGTCGGTTTTTATGGTACACGCGAAAAGAAGATGTCATCGTCGTGATCTTTTATTTTTTATCTCTCGATTCTTCAACACTTGTTCATCGGAGAGTATGAAGGATAATTGTAAAACTGCACTATAGTATTTTGATTTGCTGTCTAATTCCGCCTCTAGCCGCCATTTTATATTGTTTGTGTTTCTAGTCAGTGAGAGGACTGAACCACGTTATTTTCAGTCAGCTGGAATGCAATGAAAATGAGGAGAGAGTCGTTTTGCCGGCTACAGGCTTGTTTCGGACTGAACCGCGCTCAATTACACGTTTACTTGTTTCTTTATTTTTTATTTGTTAACACACTTACAAGACGATAAAAGATGCGTCTAAGAAGCCTAATAAATAATGAGCCTCTGAAAATTCCACTGCATTTAAAAAGACATTCGAACCCCGATTGCCACACGCTTTCCATTCGCGGTTTCCTAAATATCCCACCGCACGCGTGTGAGGGAGAAAATATACGCGCTTCTTCTCCTTCCTCGCGGGCGCCACGTGCATTCTTATGTGCGCGCCATAATTCTTCTGCACCTACTACAAAGGGAAGGATGAGGTTGGATAAGAACTCGTACCCTTCGGGTAACCAATGCTTTACCATCTGAGATAGCAAGGTAGCGAACAAGTTAACGGAACTTTGTGGAGGTCGCTTGGTATATTAAAATTTCCTCAGGCGTGGGAAATTGCAGTGTCTAGTTGTAGGTTATTTTACTACTATTGACCCTGCATGGCGGGGAGGCGCGTGATGAAAATATATGACCCTACATTGATATAACTTGCGCTGCAGTAAGCACCAAATACGATAATGCTGTTTTTATACAAGCGGAAACAATAAGAGGATAACAGTACACGGATCACACAGCAGAATTAGTTTTGTTCGTGTCAATAATTTTAATTGAATATTATTTACAGCAATAAATATACCAAAAATCGATTACACTTCACAAAGATTAGAATTTGTACAAATCTTACACTGTAACAATGATGCGCAGAGTAATATTGTCGCCCACGGACTTATGTCAGATTGATTCGAAAGACTGTCTACATTTAGTACGTGTTCGATGCCAATTACTTAAACTTTTTGGTGTCAAAAATAATGAAATGTTATTTACAGTAGTGACCAGATTGTACTATTGAAATACGCTGTTAACAAAAATTTGAAATCATTGAAACGTTTATGTCCGCCGTAGTTTAGTCGCTTATAGAGTTGCGTCAGATTCAAGGATTGTTCAACGAAGGGATTGTCGACATCTTGTACGAGTTTAAAGACAACTGGACTTCTATTCTTCATCCCAGGCAATGGTGATTCCAGAGAGAGATGCGTCCCGCTAGGAATTGTACTTTCCGATTGCAATCTACGTAGTGGTAGTTCCGGCCCAGCACTCCATACAGGAAAAAATACCCCTGGGATAACTGGAGGGTGTGGTCAGACTAAGAACGTAACAGAACCACTGTTACAATTCCCCAGCCAAACAGTGACGATCCCCGAAAACCATGAATTAAGAGGGAGGTTTTCATCGAACGGTGCCAGACCGTGGCTGGATCAATGCACTCTATAGGAATTATAGGAGCTTCCGCTAAAACCGGACCATCTGCAGTGAAATAAAGCTACAAATTAGGATCACCCCATGTGACATTATAGTGCAGCGCGAAACACTAATTACATACTCATGGCCTTTAAGTATACTGCTCCCTCAATACGGTGCGGTTTAGTTTTGCAATTATTTGAAGAACTCATGCAATATGTCATAAAAAGTCCATTCATTGACCGCTAAAGTTAACACGGGAAAATGTCTCCTTGGAAAATCTTACACAACATACCAAGGTGCATCGCAAGGAACCAGTTTGTAGTTTGTTTATTTATAACTGTGGGTTAGGTTTACTACATAAATGAAAATGGTTGTAACGCGGAAACTGTTACTGGGGCTCGCTAGTGTCTCATGGGTACTCAATCAACCTGGGCGTTAATCGCCAAATTAACTCCATAAATTTCTTAGAGTGGTAACAAAAGCAGAAAAAAAGAAAACTTGAGTGAGTGCATGTGGTTATAGCAGCCGATTACCCGCGAGTATTTTTTTTTCTACTCTTTCACTAAACAACTGTTGCTTGAGGTAATATAGATACAATTGTACTGGTACATGAAATCAAATCGATTGAATTTAAATACCGTCTTTCCTCAAATAAGCGCCGCATTCTGGCAATAAGTGCCGCGGCCCTGATACAATCAAAATCAAAAGATGTTAATTCTGTAATAAATTAATACGGAAAATAATAATACCATAGTTAAAATAATGCTTTGTCGCGTCCAACTTTCAAATAAACGCCGCCATCAAATAAGCGCCGCCTTTGAGGCGTTAAAATTTTTATAAGCACCGCCGCGCTTATTCGAGTAAATACGGTAAATGATTATGACATTCAGCGAACCTTCTGCTTCGGTCATCCGCTGTCTTTATCCTATTCTCTTTTGCTTCTCTTTCGACGAGGTTCTTCGTCACCTTCATATGAAAAATAAACAAACATTTAATTTCAGGATTCAGTTCATCACTTCCTAAGACCTGTTACAAACAGATGTTATAAAACCAGGCACAGATGCTCAATCAATCAAATTAAATTTCAAATTAAAACAAAATACCGTATGTTTGCTTTGATACCGAGTTTCACGGAACAAAGTAAGGTTACGTTCTGTTTATATTGTTGTGAAGTATTTTCTAGGTTGTTCAGTATGAACTATTGATTTACATGACGCTGACTTTTAGCCTACCTTCAGTCACCCGATGCGCTTTATGCTGCTTTCTTTTCTTTCTCTTCCGTGCAGATTCTTCGTGACCTAAATGTACAAAAGAACAACCGAAAAGTTTTCATTTAATGTACATAACTTCTAGAGACTTGCTCATAAGAGGCTACTGTGATAAAGACACAGACTTTTACTCCATCAGAGGCTCTTAGGCCTGTGCTACAGCCACGCATATTTGCCTTTCTCAGAGGTCTTTAAACAAATCTGTTTTAGCTGCTTGATATTGTTGATATCGGGTTTCATGGAACAAAATAAGCTGTTATCGTACAACTTGGAAAGTAACGGGAGAGGTTGAGCAGATAAAAGAGGTCTTTCCTTTCGGGTAGGGGCTACTTTCGGATATTTTAAAAGCGTTGGGGTTATTTGTAGTCTAGCAATCGTTTACACGAAGAGATGATTTCACGGTTAACTGGGAAAGGCAAAACGCGTTTGGCGTCATGACCTTTTTTTTTTTAAATATTTATGTATTAAGTATTTTCATTCCCGAGTTTCTTTGTAGTCTGATCCAGCTGAGGGCAATTTATTCGTAGAATGACACTAGAAACGTGTTTTTAGAGGGTTCTATTTGTCAAGAGAATGTATCCATATTTGTGAAAATAAACTGCGAAAGTAGGCATTACGATTTGAAGTTTTAACTAAATATAACATTTAATTCATTCCGTATTCACTGCTTATATAGTTCTACAGCAGTAAGTAAAGGGGTTATTGGGACTAATAACGGGTTCGGATAAGCCAACATGTTTGCCACGTAGTTATAAAAGAGGAGGCCACGATTTCCTAGATGCCGTCATCGTTCTACCCAGTGGCTTTGCCCTTTGTCCGGGTCATTTTCCCGCCGTCTCTGTGCACGGAAACGATGTATCTTAGTAAGGTCCCCTATATAAGACACATTGCATTCCTCTGTTCTTGAGAGGGTATGTGTGAAAGGGGCGCAATTTTCGGGAGAATCGCTAGTCTCGTGGGACTGTTGCATTCGATGTTTCATGTGAAAGACAGAAAATAATCGTTACTTTCGAGGGGCCATTAGGTTTGGAATTATCGACATACATCATTGGTTTACATGAACTTATGACTTTCACCATACCTTGTTCTGTCACCCGACCCTCTTTATGCTTTTTTCTTGTCTTTCCCTTCCTCGTAGATTCTTCGCCGCCTACATGCATACAAAACAGGACAACCGAAAGAATTTAATTTTGTGTTCATGGCTTTCTAATGCTGTCCAGTGACGTCACTACCCGAAAAACGGGTAATGATTTTGATTGATTGTCCAAACATTCTAAACTACTCTTTTACTATGACAAAGAGAAAGGATTTAAATTTACGTTCACCACTTCAAGACCTGTTAATAAACAGCTATAGCTATAGTGTACTAAATAAAGTCACAGACTTCCACTCAATCAGAAGTTCACTTGTGATGCGGCTACACTTAATTGGCCGCTCTTCGGTCCTTCAACAACTGTTTTTCAGCTGATTAACAGCGAGTTTCTGGCAAGGCACAAAATTGTAGAAACGTTTGTTACAAACCATTGATCTAAACTGATTAACGCCATGACTTTCAGCGTACCTTTATCTCTCCGGTGTTCTTTGTGCTTCTTTCGCTTTCTTCTCTTTCGTGAAGTTCCTTCAACGTCTAGTTATTAAAAAAACAACAACAATTGATTTAATTTTGTATTTATCAGTTTATACATAATGGTAAAACAGCTTTTATTATTTGATAAACAGAAACTACGCAGACGCATATCTCTACTCAAGCGCAAGGATGTATGCCTTAGGATTTTACGCTTGTATATTGTTAGGAACTGTATGAACTGAAACTTTATTAGCGTACCTTCAGTCATCCGATGTACTTTACGCTTTTTTCTTTTCTTTCTTTTTCGCGGAGACTCTTCGTCACCTAGATATGTAAAGAAAAACCACCAAGAACTCAGTTTTATTATAAAATTAAGACACAGGTTTTCACTCATTCGGAAGTTGATAAAAAGGTTCTGCAACTACGCCTGCTGTCCAATCTCACAGGTTTTTAAACGAACTTAGCTTCCACTTTCACGTAACAAAGAAATTCGCATTCTGTTATAATGTATGGATTTAAATAAACGTTGCATCATATAGCTCACCCGCTTCGGTCCTTTGCTCTGCTTTCTCCTTTTTTCTTTTCTTTTTCTTTCGCCGAGGTTCGTCAATTTCTAATTATAAAAAAAACAGCGAGGGATAAGTTCCTTCTAAAGTATTTCCAAATATCAGCGAGTTATCCATCGGCGTATCCAAACAGTATAATAAACAACATTGCATAATTTAAACCTAACATGGACACGTAGGGAAAAACGAAATGAGTTTCCGTCTTTGTAATCAAAGGGTGTCACAAAAAATGGGACTTAGTACAGTATAAAGGACAAAATAAGGTCTCTCCTTTCTGATATAAATTATAATATGGATTTAAATGACCTTTAGTATACCTTCAGTCATCTCCTGCACTTTCCGCTTTTTTCTTGCTTTCTGTTTTCTTCCAGGGAATTCTTCTTTAACTACAAAATCAATTTTGTATGACTCAGTTTCTAAAAATTGGTAGAGAAACAGACATTATACAAAGGAACACCGTTAATACGGTCAGCAAATGGACATGCTAAAGTGTTCGTATTGTCCGGCTGTCCGGAATGGAAAACCTGGTTTGACATATTGTAAGATAGTATTTACCTTTTATTATTATTATTATTATTATTATCATTATCATTATCATTATTAACTTAAAAAGTACATATAAACAGACTAATGAACAAACATAATCGTGAAAGTCGGATTTCTTTCACCTAAATTTCGGAGCGTTGCGTGACGACACTAAAAACGGCTGTGTAGCAGACTAGTCTACACCGCAATTATTACAAATGCAGGAAATCTCACAAGAGAGAACTGACGTCTGACCGAAACGAACTTTTGTACAACTTCTTATTAGTGATCAGGGCTTTAATGCCAACAGGTTTTGTTACATCGGTAACTGGGAAGGCAGATAACTTGGGGGGGACAGGGGACAATAAACCTTACCAGTAGGATCTGGAGGCGCTGGAAATGTTGCCACTGTGTCTTGATCGTCAGCGGGGAATGGTGAGTCGTGAATACTGAGGCGAATCTCTGCCAGAATCTGTGCGAGTGGTAAAAGAAACCAAGAGTTTATGAGTCTGTTCCAGGCTTTCAAATAGAAGAGAGCGGCACTTTCCACTATCTGAACGCCTGGTGCAGGATAGGAGTTGATGAGCCAATAAGATGATTGAGCAAAAGGAACTCTTCTACAAAGACAGAACCTCAGTCCCCGAACCAATCTTCTGTTCACTGGTCAGGTCCAAGCGTCAAGCTCTTTGTTTGCTTAAAATGCGTAACAAGGCTCTACTCAGTGCAGTGAGAACGTTGACATACTCATGTCATGTCATGTAAAGATGGTTGATAAGGCACAGTGATGATGGGTGTGGATATCTGGTGAGGAGTAATGCTCTGAATACTGAACGTGAGGTACACAAAACGCTTCAATCGACCGTTCACGATAGTATGATTATACAAATATTTATTTTACTAATGAATTCGAACTCGAGAATGCCTTGAAACGGTCGACACGTCGTTTATTTTAGCGTTGATTTTAAGAGTAGAAGTCTTATTACTTACCTGGTCCTGGTTGTCTTCTGATTCATATGATAACATTTCTTCGGCTATTTCTTCTTCAGACTGGATGATTCCTTCCTCATCCTGCCAAAAATCACACACTTAACACTATACACTATCCATTTCTTATCTCTTAGGATCGTTATTTCAGTCTTCATGTACACAACGAGAGTTTTAGTCCTTGATTCAAGTCAATAAAAATTGAAAATGCCATAGTAAATCTAATCTTCTAACAGTGTCACTATTTTCCCAGATAAAGGAACCAAATAATTGACGCAAGTCTTGTTGATAAAAAAGTGAATCTGTATCAAAAATCTTAGATATTAGGAAGAGTAACGTTTAAAGTCATACCATAAAACTTAAAAAATAAAATAAACAACACGTCATCAAGAAAATTCAAAGTAAATTAAAATGTAAGGCAAGTTTTTTAAATCTGATAAAACATGGCCGAGAAAAAGGAAAAAAACAAACAAACAAACAAATCAATAATAACAAACCCAACCCATCAACTATAAAAAACTCCTGAAAAACACTCTGCTACACATTGTGTTTTAGAGCCGATAACTCACCCACTCTTCCTCATTCTCATCCTCAGATTCAGAAAATGAATCGACCTGACAAAAAATAAACACAACACTCAACATTTCCGAAACGGATTGCAGTCCGTTGCAATATTGTTCGGACAGTAACTTCCACAACTAAAGCTATCGTTGTAAGAGAACCGTCGGTTTCCGTATGACTTAGCTCACTTCTTAAAAGAGCTAAGAGTCTAAGACCACAGAAATAACTTGTTATTGTTAGTAAGACTTAAATTCAACTGCACTGTTTTGATTTGACTCAGTTTTTATGAAATCGCGACTAGAAAAAAAAACAGCCTGAAACTACTATCATATGAAACACATTTCCTGTTCCCTTAGTTTCAGTTTATAATAAGTGAACTCCTGAAAAGCTAACCAAAAACCATGCGTTTTTAAACGGAATGTTTTTTTTCAGTTTTTGTTCTCCAAGAAATCACAGAACTCAAGAAATATTATACTCGATTTTCTTTTGCCAAAGTTGATGACCAACCTGTTGCTTTTGCGTCTCTAATTCATTTGATGAGTGAGAAACGAGCCAGGGAAACCACCTTTCCCACTTCTCTTCTGACAGCCATTTATGTACGGGCTTGGGGTTCCCTTTAAGATCCTACAACAAATCACAAAATAACACAAGCACCATTCAACTTTTAAAGCAACGTTTAAAAGATCGAAAGTGTAGTCTAGATTTTAAAACCTTTCTTTAAGTGATAAGCAATGAAAGAGTTAAAATAACACCAGGGGTTAACTACTATGTGATGGGGACGTGAACTCTCATCGGACAACTTGAATTGTACCACTAACCCATTAAGCCCCAATATAAAAATACAAATTCTCCACACTAGTGTCCATACATTGCCTTATAGAATTAGTTGAGAGAACTTGATAAAAGATCAAAGTACTTCTCTTTTGTTCATTATTTTATTACTTCTCCTAACCTTTTCTTTTGATGATGTTTTGATATTGTTAAAGACCAATCTGAGTAAAGCTCAAGCTGATTTCACCCCGAAAAGAGATCATTTCTACAACACATAGTCAAAGTAGTACTATAGAAAGTTCTGCTTGCGACAATGACGTTTTTCTTCATTGATTTAGTTATATTTGGGACTAAACAAGAGATTTGCTCATTTTGCAATACGTTCCGAGGCCTTATTTAGTTTAAAGTCGTAAAATCCGCATGCCCTAAACAGTAATTTCGTCCTGAATGGTCTTGCGAGTACCGCTGCGCTAAAAAACTTTCTAGTGAGTGTCTCAAAATTAAGGCTGCTTTTCAGTAGCGACAGAGTCGGAGTCGGAGTCGTAATCAAAAGCGTAGAGCTTATGATCTAGTGAAAACAGGGTTTCGATTCCGCTTAAGTTCCGCTCATGATCTAGTGAAAACTAGATTGTCAGAGTCGGAAGCAGAAGCGGAAGAACCAAACAAATCACAAAGCGTGAGAACGTGCATCGGGATTGGTTTATCCTGCTGCTTCTGCTTCCGATTCCGACAACGTGGTTTTCACTAGATCATAAGAGGAACGTAAGCGGAGTCGGAAGAAATGGAAACGCTCTAATTCTTCTGACTCCGATTCCGACGCGCTTATCACGCCGCTTGTAACCTGAGATCAGGCCCAATTTTAGCGGTTGTCATGCATTCTCTCTAACGGCTACCGCTAAAAAAATCGCCTTGCCCGCCCCAATGTAATTTTCAAAGCGAAACGAAAACAGAACCTGATATCAGTTTACTCCGCTTACGACTCCGATTTTTTATTTTCACTAGGTCATAAGCGATCTTACGACTCCACCTCCGACTCGGTCGCTAGTGTAAACCAGCATCCATGGCGAGAAGTTCCTGATTTTTCCTTATCAACCCCAAATTTCCGAATTTTTGTGTCGTTTAATAGTGACTAGAAATTACCTACATACAGAAAAAAGCAAAGGCCTCATGAACTAAAGTTCTGTTGAAAAAAGGAGTTAAAAATAAGAAAAAGAGGGGAAAACGACAAAACCAACAGAAAATATATCTGCCTTCTTGGACGCACCTCTACAGGTGCTTGCAGCTTAAGGTGATTCCTTAGTTTTGCACTGCGCATCTCTTACTGTGCATAACAAGATGGCCGCCGTAAAAAAGAGCATGTTGACTGAAGAGAAACGCTATTGGAATTTTTGCTTGCTGTTGTTTCTTGCCGCGGTGAGACTCAATGTGTTGGGAATGTGCATAACGTAAGAAGTACGCGTGTTGCTGAGTTCGACCTCCTCTCGGAGAACCTCGATAGTGGATGTTTAACTTGTGCTTACTCACTTTGATTTTCATTTAAACACTTTCTTTATCATATTGTGTCCTAAATGTGATGTCTCGATGTAAATTCTGTAAAAACGGATTTTTTAATACTTTCTTCCCCCCTTTCACATACATTCTATTTTGAAACTCGCCCCAGTCCTCTCTCAAAAATTGGAAAAAATGCGTTTGTTGCGCACTTTCTGCAGCTCTACCGCAAAAACGAGTACGGTGACCCCCATTATTTATTTCATGATTTTAATAAGGACAGTGCTTCCTTTCGATGAGAAAAAAATTGGCACAAGTCTATGTTCAGTTTTTTGGCAATTTTACTAAATTGTACGGATTGAGCCATCACGGTTCGAAAAGTGCGCGTCCAATTTAATTCTACTTTGGAGCGTAAAGTAAAAACAAGGACATTAAAAGCCATTTTTCTGGTACGTAAGTGGATAAACAATACATTAAAGTCAAATTCTGTGTGATGCCACATGCATCATCGAAAAAATCTCTCCTTTTTGTCTAGTTTTGGGCTGCACGCGGTTTTAAGGGTCCTAAATAGCCGTATTTGTCAGCATTGTGACGTCAAAACGAGCACGGTGACCCCCACTTTTTATTACTTTTTTATCATCTTCTTGACTTGTTACATCAGTGCACCAAGTTTTAGCTACAATCTATGTTAGGTTCTTTTACTGTGGAATCACCTTAAAGCCCACACTCTTCTTTTCAACCTCGAAAATTTGCATGCAAGACTTTCAAAACAGTAAAATCACATAACATACTCTAAAAATGTGCGAATTATTGCAACCTTGGAGCCCTTTCTTCTGTTAACTTCTTGGTCTGATAAAATTCTCAAAGATCAGTTTTTCCTTAGTGGGGGTTGGGAGGGGAGGCGCAACAAAACCTGCGTCTCGTCTGAAGAAACGCTTGCTGCGCTGCCAAACGAAAGGCGGGAAAATTCTACCAGGTGGGTAGTTATATAACCAATCAGCTGTCGCCACGTCACAAGCCTTCTTTCACGCCACTTTGAATGACAGTTTGTTGATTTTGTAGTTTGTTGTTCACTTCAGTTGAGTTTGCTCGTCAAAGAAAACTTTCAACGCAAAAATACTCAAGATGGACACAAAAAGAATGAGAAAACACCGTAAAATGTCAGTTAAGAGAAAAATTCGTCTCATGTACTCAGGAATTTGTCAAAGGATTTGTGCAAGCTATAGGAAACTACATTTAAGAACTTCAACTCATTCATACAAGACACGAAGTGACGCAGGATTTGTTGTGTTCGTCGTAAAACCGGAAAACAAGTAACCGACAAAAATAGACAGCTAGTACCATAGAAGAGTGCTTTTACCTATGATTAAATGTATGGTGTTAAATTTCAACCAAAGCGTCTCAGAGGAATTATATTTTTTGTGGAATCTTATCTCAAAAACCTACGCTACAGTGAGGTTATTTACGGGAGGACAAGCATTTACCGAAACGCAAGGGAAACGCAAACGCAAACGCAAACAAAAGGACAGCTCTAAAAAGACTTCTTCGTTTTCTGGACTCTCAATGAAACTTTACTTGAGTTTTGCTGATTTTACGAAAACCTTAGCGATAAAAGTGAAACTGTAAGTGTTTAACTTTTTTTCTCTTGATTTTTGCAAATTTTGTTTGTTTGAATTGTCGAACATGAACAAAACATATTTTGACTTTATGCTTGTTATTCATCATTTTATGAAAAGATATGAATTAAAATTGATTGAGAAATTAATACTATGGAATTTTTGTGTTAATACATATATCACAAGTTTGTTAAGTGAGCTCATATCGAGTTGAACCAGACTCAAAGAGAAATTTCATATCTGCTCGCTGATCCATTATTTTGCACAGTGAAAACACCCTCAGATTAATTTACTTGTTCTCGGTTAAAACATGTTTTTGGATTTAGTTTAATCAATTGAAAGGAATGAATTTGAAATGATACTTTGAATCTGCTAAAGTTTGTGATTTGTTTTCAAAAGTAAATCTCGTGTTTTGTCGAGTATAAAAATGACAAAGAAAGGAAAATGGCGAAAGGCAAGAGCTGAGTAGAAATAAACAGTAAACAAAGAATAAAGAAACAAATTGCGATAAAATTGGAAAACTTACGTGGTAGTATGACGACAGTTCAGTGATGTTGCCGTGCTGCTTGATGGCTGATGACAGATCCATCACCTGCTGTTGAGTCGTCTTCACACCGTAAAGCTGCAGTTTCTTCAGGTGAGGAGCGCAGCTGAGATGTTTAATCAAGCTGTCTACTCCTGCACCCAGAAGAGGATTGTATGACATGTCGAGCTCCTCCAAGTTTGGGGCTTTTTTAAATAAATTGTTGATGAACTCCACAGCAGGTGATGATGTTACATTGATATTCCAGAGTGATAATTCCTTCAGTTTGTGTGTTACTTGGATGCTCCTCAGCAGAGACTCTGTTACCTCAGCATCAAACACTTCACTGTAAAAACCCCAAACCAGTATCTTGTGTGGAGCGGTGATAAACTGCATGATCTCACTCATCCGTTTCACATCTGACCAGTTCACATGCTTAGCTTCAATCCTCCGAACCCTGGAGAGACCATGACGCTTTGAACAACAGCTGCTGCTGCTCTCTTCACTTGACTCATCACCATTCATGTTTGTCTTCTTTGTTGTCTCTTGTTTACTAATAAGCGCCTTTATTATATCACAAGGAAAAGGAATGTCTCCCCATTCATCTTTAACAATTTTAGCTAAATAAAGGTGAGTGTTGTTTTCTTCTTTCTTTAAAAAAAATTCATCAATCCTACGCCATGTTGAGTTGCTTAAAAATTCTGATGCTTTCTTTTCTCCTACAGAGCTAACAATAACTACGTTTAATTGTTGTAATAAAATTATAAAATTACTATTGACCTGCTCTGTATAATCTTCCTCACTGTTTTCATTAAAAAAAACGTAGTTGGGTGTTTCGGTAGTTTGAACTAATTTTTCCTTTACGATAACATTTAGCTGCGCTGCACTAATTACAAGAACTCCTCCTAAAGAGGAAAGAAATGTAGGAAAGAGGTTTTTTCTTGTCTCAGCTGAGCAGTAGAAAAATAACTGATTACAAAGATTAATAAAATCTGTTTGTTCTTCTGACAAGTCATTCTCTGACGGTGTTTCGTTGTCGAATTTGAACTCTGTCAGTTCTTCTTTCTTCGCCGCCATTCCAAGTTGAATCAGAATGTCACGCGCGGCTTCTTCTGACAACTGAACAGCAAATTTTAAAACCTCAATCATCTCTTGGATCTTTTCAACTGAGTCCAACTTTAAGAGGGAATTTGTATTTTCAGCCTTTTTAGATGTCAGCTCTTCTTTCAGGAAATTCCCAGCTAGGTATTCTTGGACGGATTTGTGAATAAAGTACACGCCTTTTTTAGGATTCAAACTCGCCATATTTAAAACCTGAAAAAGGCCGACTTCAATCAGTCTCTCGATCAAACTGTAGCCAGCAGGTAACTGACTAACAGGGAAATAAAGCTGGCCTTGCAAAAGGGCTTCAAAGGCCAAGCGTCCTAATGCGTATAATTCATCTGAGTAATCTTTAACAACCACTGATTCAGCAGACTGTTTTTGACGCAAATGATCAAACAAAGTCTTGACAAACTGGGCGAAGATGTGTGCGCGTTCCTTTGGTAGTGCTTCGCGTGTTGTTTTCGTCCAGAGCAAGCATAGTATTAATAAAAGAAGGGGAATTTGTGCTAGGTCGCTTAGGTCGTGATCCTCTAAGTATTCAAAAAACTCTTCAACATCTTCATCATCTTTCAAAAATCTACGAGCAAACTCTACTCGGCGCTCACCATTAAAGCCGTCAATTTTGAATTGAGCATCACTATAATTTCTCAACGTCTCAGCTTTCATTTCCCTTGAAGTAATTACAACACAACAATCTCTTAATCGGCTTTTTTTCCAGATTTTGAAGACAGGCGACTCGTTTTTTGAATTGTAAACATACTCATCGTAGCCGTCCAAGATAAGCAAGACTTTTTCTTGATGGCGACAAACGTAATCATACAGGTTGTCTACGGAAATCGCACCATTACTATCCACCACTTCAGAAGCCCTCAGAATGGACGGAACATCTTGGAGATCACTAACGTCACGTAATCTCACCAGAAGGACAAGATCAAATGCTCCTAATGTTTCAGAATATCTCTGCTGGGACCAGTCAAAAGTTGCTTTCTTCGTGAAAACAGTCTTGCCGATACCTAGGTGACAATATGAACAAACTGTCAATATTATCATGTGAAGTGACGTGAAGTGGAATCTAAAATATTGAAATGTGAATTTTTAACTTTCATAAAACTTAAAGAGAATTTTTTTTTTACGGAATTATGTTTAAACATTTTATACCATATGCAGAGTGAACAACATATGGGTGGCCTTTGCCCCTAAAGTTAAGCCAAAAAGAAGTTTCCCTGCCTCTAAGGGGGCATTTTGGAATTCTTAGCTTTGATTAAAAACTGGAGTTACATTCATCGATAATGGTATCTCATTTAAATAATCAAAATTATTCATAATAAAGACAATGGAAATGAATCCTTCATAAAACACAGACTATTTAGGGCCTGGTTGTTTAAAGCCGGGTTATACGATAACCCGGGGTTAGTGCGAAATTTGAATTCAGATATGAAAGCTTCAAAAGCAAATTTAGTTTAATTCTTTTTGTCTAAAATTTGATGATTAGATAATCTAAAACAAGTAGAGAAAAATCCAAGAAACTGCTTTTGACAATTAAAACAAAAAGAAACCTGGGTTAAAATTTATCCCCAGGGCCAACTTGTTCAAAGCAAGGTTAAGATAACCCAGGGTTAGTGCGAGATTTCAATTCAGATTTGAAAGCTTAAAAAGCATTTCAGTTTTAATTTTTTTTTGTCTACAAGTTGATGATTGGAAGCTCTAAAAATAACAGAGAAAACTATCCGAGAAAATACTTTTGAACACAAGAAAAAGAAGCCCAGGTTAAGCGCTAATTGGCCTTCGAACAACTGGGCCCAGGTTAGCGTAATACGGACTTCAACCAACTGGGCCAACTTCCAGTCATTAGTCTATTGTGAAGGTTGTGGTGGAATTTTATCCTTTTTAGTTCTATCCTTTTAACACTTGGCATTAAATAAACTTGAATTTCAGACCAAATTGAGTTAAAACATTTTTACCATTATAACAAAACTAATGGGAGCCTATACAGTGTATTGTTCTGATTGCTCTAAAGCCAATAAATATATATTGTTTATTATCAAACTGATTAACAGAAAAACTTTGTTTTTTAAGTTTTAATTTACTTATAACCAGCAACAGACCAAACTTTCCATTTAGCTAGACAGCATGAAAAAATCTACCCCACTTGGAATGTACAATACGTCAGCAAAACACTCAAGAAACCTGCACATCACCAGCTGATAACAGCTGATGCAATGCATTTGCTAACACCTTGTGTCCATTAATTATGCCGAAAGACCAATGGTTTCTGTGTTTACTGTCATTGTATGTGATATTTGCATGTACTTATCCTCCTGTTTAAGACAATTAAATTCTTTACTTAATTCACTCACTTACCTGGCTGTCCATAAACCAAAATTCGCTTGGATGCACGACGAGCTTCTCTGTGATCAAAAATCTCAGTGTAGTGGTTAAGGTTTTCTTGTATCACTCCCCTGGGGGTCCTGTCATCCATGATCCAAGACAAGTCTGTGTAGATCTTGTCAATATGAACAGCAGAGTTCTGGTCCCATGGAATGATTCTGACTTTACTACTCGTTTCATAAAGTGATCGCAGCTGTTTCTGGCACTCTTCAAGGCATACAGAATCTATTATAAAGAATTTTTTATTATTTCCAAGAAGTATTTTTCAATTAAACTATATATTTTTTTACAAGAGGGGTGGACAGTCAATTTGCAGAAATATCATGAATAAAATATTATAAATTAATGAAAGGAAACAGCACCAGGAATGACCCAGTGATCATTTGATATTGTCCAGAGGATTTAAATCAGCAAGCAAGTCTTAGTGTTCTTTCCTTTTACAATCTTTTTAGTGGGGCTTGGTGGATGAATAGAATATACCATACCAGCGGAAAGTTTGGGAGTGGACCCCCTTCCACAACATCACTTTCATGAATTAAATTGGCCAATTACTTAATTAATAGAGTTTTTTTTACACATAACTCAAAGACAATTGAAACAAAGACAAAAGGTTTATTTTCAAGAAGATAAGGGAATCTTGTTTCACTTAACAATGCCTGTTTTACCAAAATGAAGCCTTAGTTTATGTCCAACATTAAGGGAAAACATGAGGCAAGGAAGCAAAAAGGGAAAAGTTGAGAGGTTTGTGTCACTTTTCAAAACAAAACTGACATTAATTAGCATAAGAAACAAAAGGGCCAGTGTGGTGTTCAATTTAAAGTACCGTATTTCCTTGAATAATAGCAGTCCTTCGAGTAATCGCCTCCCTCAAATAATCGCCCCCTTTTGACGGAAATATCTAAAATAATCACCCCCCTCCCCACCCCTCATGCCATCTTCACTTTCTTTTATCCCCTTCCTGTCAAGTTGAAGTAGAATCTGATCCAGCAAAACTGATCAGTGACGATTCAAGCTCTGAAAATTACAATTGAGGTGAAAATCACAATTGAGGTGATAATTTTTTGATATAATGAGATAATAAAACAAAATATTTAGGGCACGACTTCCATGAGTGAGCTGAATAAAGAGTTTTAGATCCGAGTTTACCGCGAACCTCTAACCGCTGGAGGCCACATGACACTGAAGTCTTTCGCATCACGTTCGAGGTTTACGACCTGCCTTTTCAACGTGGAGAGGTAGGTTTTCATTAGCATGTCATTTACCTGAAAGCTTTTAGCGTATAATTCATGTTTCATCCCACGTAATGATACAAAAATCTTGTGGAGCAAGTCTTTACCCGCAATTTAACAGAGGCACAAATTCGGGCAAAATGCTAAATTTTACAAATTCTATTGGATCTTGAAAACAAGTGCCATTCATGGCTGCTGATTCAAAAGGCGGCCGTAATGTAATCCACCGCCAATCTAAATCGAATTAGGCTTAAATGTCGAACCGCAAACGGGTAACCGCAAACCACGGTTAGAGGTTCGCGGTTAACTCGGATCTAAAACTCTCTACTATTTGAAATAATTGCCTCCCTTGAATAATCGCCCCCAAGAAATAATAGCCCCAGCTAATATCATTCGAGGAAATACAGTATTTTGGGCACTTTTGGTTCTTTTTTGGCCAGATACTGACCAGAAAGCTGCCTGACTGGCTTCAAATGGCATTTGTCAGCAAAATTTTTTTGGAGGGCGGAAGGAATTAAATATCAGACAAAAAGAGACTGCTCCCTTTGGCAAAGACCTGTCTTATTGCAATGTTATTTGTAAATAAAAAAGTGCAAGAGGGCTCAGATGCATATGTGACAAACAACTTTAAAAGATTATAACATTTATATTAGTGAAACCAGTGCTCAATCATTTAATCTGGAAAAACTTCTGGATTTATAGTGTAAAAAATTGACGGAATATATAGTACCTGGCATCTGTTTGTCTGGCTTTGTGGTTGTCTCTTGCTGATTCTTTGCTGTCAAGTCTGTGAAGAAAAAAAGTGTTATAAATTCGAAAACCCCTCAAAACAAATTTTACTTTTGGCCTTTGTTATTTAGTATTTGAATATTAATGTATGCATGTATTTCAGTTTCAAACAGAGTAAAAAACTTGAACCATTGGGGGCATTTAATAGATAGGAGGTGTTTAGTCATTATTTAAACAATCTCAACAAAACTTATACAGTATGCTTTCGGCGAAAAGTCACTCCATCTACTGATATTTGCAGGCCGTCGTTTGACAATCGTTTTCAAGGATAATATTGAACCAGCCAACATAAAAAAATAATTATCTGAACAGAAAATTCATCACTATTAATAATTTATTTATTATCTATCATTAGAACAGGGATGTCACATACCTTCATAGTGAGGCCATTCTTTAAAAACTACTGGATCATTTAACATGTTAGACACAACAGAAGCTGCCATGATGGAAGCAAATGACTTCCAGGACTCATCAGGAGTGTTGCTATCATCAGAAAAATGCGATATCCCTTTAACAATCACCCATTCAATGCTCATATCATGAGCTGCAGCAAACAGTCCTGTAAGTGGTAAGAAAAACAGACCAATAAAAGATGTCTCTTTGCAGCCTTGGCTCTTGCTTAAAGCTTTGTCCAATCCTTTGTGAACATGCAAGAATCTAGCAAAGCTGTAAATTTTTCTCTGCAGTGTAATGACTAAATTTTATTGTGTTTTAATAAGCTTAACAATTTATGTTTCCTTGCAAAATATTTAACTTGTGAACTACTTCTCCAAAATATTTTTATGTAAACACATGGTTGACGTACGAATTATTAATACCATAAGAGACCAGCTGTTTGCACCCTATTATTGATCACTGACAACATTGCCAACCATGGTCAACAAACCAATGAAGTACTGTGAATTTCCATGGTCACAAGCTGTTGCCAAAAAGGACAATTTAGAGTTCTACTTTAGACCTCGAATTGAATGCTATACATCAAATTGTTGCAATAGTTAAATATGTAGATAATCTTACCTTCCCCTTCTCTTTCAACTGCAATCACGCGAGATTGAGATATACGGCGTTGCTTGGTGATGAATTGACTACCACTGAATATGTCACTGTCACGGTGTACCTGTACTGTTTTTTCACTTACTGGATCTTTCAATGGTGGATTCCAGCCTTCAATTGAAAACAAGTTAAGTTTGCCAATATTTCTTCTTACTGGAGCTGTGAATTGTTCGGTTGAAAGTTTAGAGGATAACACTACATCCCCTCGTTTGGTGGCTTGTGCGTTTAATCCCATGCAAAAGCCGACTAAGAAAGCAGCCTTGGGTCTCAGTTCCCGCACTGCATTCTTAGCAGTGACTAGAGAGCCACCTGGAGCAGAATTAACAGCCGTCATAACATCTCATTAAAGCAACTTTTAGTGCCTCTTCTCCACTTTCACCCATGGTCCCAAAGTACACGTATCCCAGAGTCTGGTGATAACTTTTAATAGAATTTTTCAAGAAAGCATAACAAGCTAAAAACTCGCAGTCTTCTACTGTCAACAAAAGAATGTCAACAGGAAGGTGAACATCACTCCATGGTTTTGACTTGTTTGGAAGATCACTCATTTTAGGCACTTCAATACTTGAAGGAGGAGGGGCATGATTTCTTGACATCTGATGATCAGGATCAGCACCTCCTTTTCTTTTAAGGTCTTGATGCTGCGCCATTGAGTCTCTGCTTTAAAGATTTCCCTAAGGAGTGTAAATAATAATTTAATAAGATCACCACATTAACTATTACTTGAACAACTTAATGAAAAATAAATTATCAATAAATTAATAATATTATTACTTCAATTTTATGTCACAGCTATATTTTTAAAGAGTCATGCCTCCCATTTGTATATAAGTGGACATCACTGTGACAAAGAGAAGTGTCCACCTACAGGTAAAAAACACATGTTTGCATCACAAAGGTCAAATGCCGAGTTTGTAAGTGCCTCAGTCCATGACTGGTTAGTGTAACTTTTAGAAGAGGTGTCCACTTCACAAAGGTCAATATGCAAAAAGTGCTTGAAAGTTCCTGGGTCCGTTTCACAAAGGTCAATATATGCGGCGTTTTATATGTAAGTGTCTGCAGGGCCAGGGCTAAGCAATTTACGAGAGATTTGCACTTAAGGAAGGTCTACCAAAAATGTACTCTTAATTAAGTATTGGCGGCTGCGACCATGATTAAGTCTATGTTAGAGAAGGGGTCCATTAATTACTAGCAAAGGTTTGACTCAATACAATGAGTAACAAACAAATACTGATGAAGGCAATAGAAACATTTGGAATGTTAACAGTTTCTGGCCTGTACCATTACTGTGTACTGTAATCAATAGTATATCAATGAACGCATCTAAATTATACGTATGGTAATGGTATGATACTCTAGTGATGCAAGAAAGCTTTAAAACTTACAATGTTAACTCCCTTTGCCATTTTTTACTGCAATCAATTTAATAATTAACTCATGCAACTAAATTAACTTCTCCTTTGATAGCTTCACAACATCTAACTTATCGTATTTGTTTAATGGGTTATTCCAGAAAAAATCCACACCCCCCCGACGGATGGGGTCCTTTTTTACCCCCTCTCACCTGGATTTCCTGAAGCACAAGACCCCCCTCCCAACTGGATTTCCAAGGTAGAAGACCCCCCTCCCGCCTGGATTTCCGGGAAAAAATAAAAGGCTTAAATTTAATTTATTTTTAATGGAAAATACACGCAAAACACGTCTAAATGTTTTTGTTTTAATTTCTAAAGCTTCAGCTTATATTAAACTAAGAATTCTATCGCGTGGAACTAAAAAAACGAAAGGAGCAAAAAAACAAAAATGCGAACGACACGGAACGTGTTTACATAATTTCTCAGCTAATAAAAATCACTCTTAAGCTCTTCGTGCGCGGGCTCTGGGTGCAGTAGAAATGTGTCAGGCGTTTGACGCTCTTCGTGACAACAACGTTGCGACGAGTTCCTTCAGGCCCGTTCTTTAGTATCTTGTTCGCGTTTTCTGCTATAAAAGGACCTGTAAAGCAACTTAGATTATCATTTATGTCAGGTGAGAAATATATGAACAAAACATTTTGACTATTTTCAGGGTCTGAAAGCGCTTAAGTGTCATCGAACTAAACGTTTGATTTGTATCAACTATCGGTCGAAATGACCCCTGCAGAAGACTTTTTTAAGGTCAACCCCCCCTCCCGCCTGGATTTCCGGAGTCTTCGACCCCCCCTCCCGCGAGAATTTCCAGAATCCCATCCGTCGGGGGGGTGTGGATTTTTTCTGGAACAACCCAATTTAACTGACATAAAATCCTGAAAATAATAAAAAGATGGTAAGGATGACATCAAAATATGAGATATAATCCTATTTTGAAGCCATGCAAATTACTACAACAACCCCATGGATTGCCCCCAGGAGGGGAGGGGGTACTCAACAAAGTTCTATCAGGGAGGCTCCACCCTGAGGTCCAACCCCTTACCCAGCTATGAAATACCATTCTGACAGAAAAGGTACCCAGCTCTTTCGTGTACCTTCTTTTGACAAAATATTATGGTACTGTCCCTTTCACATACCTAGTTTAGAACTTTGTATCCCTTTTTAACTGCTGATAAGGCACTTTAAGCAATTCAAGGTCCAATATGATTCGCACAATTGGGTCTCAGCTTTAAAAGAATGCATAACAAAGTCAATGCTAAAATCAAACAGGCTATTGTATTATTTCATAAAAACAAATTTTGCGAATCTGATGGCGACTTGCATAAAACGTGGCAGCTAGGTCATAAATGAGCTTACTTCTCATAAATCCGGCAGGTCAGTCTGGTAAGGAATTAAGTCTGAATGGAGTTTCTATACACTTTCGATGATCACTTCTCCACAATTGGCACAAAACTGGCTTGCGAAATACCTTTAAACAATTTTCAGGAATTTAAATATCTCCAGCCTTTAAAAAGAAAGATTCCAAATTCATCCCCACTGATAGTAATCAGGTGTTGTCTCTTTTTAAAAACCTTAATAGATCTGAAGGTGCTGGACCAGATGGAATATATAGTCAGCTTATTATAGATTGTGATGAGTTAATTGCACCTCATATTATTTCAACTTCATTTAATAGTTCTTTAGCTAATGGTATATTTCCTGAGGATTGGAAGTCCGCAAGGTTTACCCCTCTATTCAAGTAAGTGGCGAAAGAAGTGACATAGACAATTATCGTGCAATATCTGTTATCTCTACAATTGCCAAAGTATTTGAAAGAATTATCTAATACCAACTCTATGCCAGTTTATCGGATCATAATATTTTGTCTAAGCACCAATCTGGATTCCATTTGCTCCATTCAACAGTTACAGCCTTATTAGAGGCCTGTAATATTGATATAGGTAACGTTAACGCTGTTGCTTTTCTTGACCAAAGAAAACATTTGACATAGTCGATCATGATATCCTAGCTATTGTCTAACTTACACCTTTATAGTATATCAGGTGTTACCCATAATGTTTTTCCTCCTATTTGGATAATCATACTCAGAAATGTCTTGTCTATGGTTTATGTTTCAGAATGTTGCACCCTCAAGTGTGGCATTCCCCCAAGGAACAATATTTTAGGGTCTCGAATATTTTGGCTGTATATAAATGATTTGCCCAATTGTCTGTTTCATTTTGAACAAAGAATGACTAGTATGTTGATGACCCATCTGACTTATTTGAAAGGCAATATCCACTCCATTCAGTCTTTCTTGAATGAAGACTTGCTCAACATTAATCGCTGTAGACTGTTCACGGTCCCCTATTTTTTCGTGAGATCGTTTAGATATACCGCGTCTTACCGTCACGGCTACATCTTGATTTTCAAATGTACCGAGGGGGGTGTCGGGATTATAGCTCTGGTGGGGGGGCGAAAAATAGAGGGACTGTAATAACAACACTGCAGCTCGCGTTCACGGAGCGCGTTGTACCAGCAACGCAGGCCTTTGATTGGTCATTAGACAATGGATGTTTATTTGCGTTGACAGCGGGTTTAGTTTAAGTTGCTGACACTGAAAAGTCACTGACAAGTCGATATTTCCATAAAACGTACGCTTTCATACCACAAGGCACATCTTGCGCAAAAGCACGAAGGGGTTTTGGTATTTTGATTAGAAAAATGTTTTCTTGTGTGTGTTTGCCGATTTTATTTCGAGGAATGGGCCTAGAAACATTATAAAATCACTGTTTCCCAAGGAGGTATCTGTAAACACGCGTAATCGATGCTAAATGTGTCTGGCATGTTTTTCATCACTGGCGGAGTTTCTTAATTAATGAATGGTAAAAGGCGTGAAATTTTTGTCACGCCTCCTGAACGCGAGCTGCAGTGATGTTATTACATTCTCTCTATTTTTCTCGCTTCTTCCCAAACCGCCCCCGCCCCCTAAGTAGTTTTGACACTCATCTAAGATGGCATCCTGTAATGCAAAGCGCTCGATCTCGACGATCTTACAGAAAAATAGAGGACTGTGAACAGTCTATAATCGCTGGCTTATCGCAAATAAATTAATGTTACATATGACTAAAACTGAATTCAAATTAAAAAGCTCAAGGCAAAAGCTTAATAATCTAACTTCTCTGCCTTCCTTAAATATAAATAATGTTCTGATCAAACATTCTCATTCCTCTAAGCCTCTTAGCATATATTGATGAAAATCTAACATGCGAAAACCATGTTGACACTATAATACTCTACATTAAAGAAAATTGCGTCTGGTTACCCATCAATCATTGTTTACCCCTGCTGCCTTGCATGCTGTCTATTACGGCCGCCAATCACATTTTGACAACTGCAGCAAGCTACGGGGTAGCTCGCACGCCTATAGGGTACTGAGCACAACCTCCTCCTATAGGCCATTATAGGGAGTACCCCCCCTGCCCCAAGGGGAAACTGCCCAAAATAATTATCTTGTTCAGAGATATATCATATCTACATCAAAACACACTTACAGCAGAGATCACAGAGAATGTAAACTTACTTTCAGGAGGATAACTTTAATCTTGCATTATCACTGGTGGTGACATCTTCAGAATCTTAGTAAGTGGTCTACAAAACTGAAAAAAATATCATGCACTTAACACCTTTTTACTGCTGATTTTAATATTTCTTATTCAACCTCAAATAACACAAGTGATCCCTGCAGTTAGTTCATCGCCTCTTGTTTTTTTTTTTTTGCCTTACATTTCACTACGATTCCACGATTTGACTAAAAGAGATATAAAATGGTCTTTGCGACCATAATTTGGCGGCACACTACAGCAGTGCATAAAATAATGTAGTGATAAAACTTGTCTTGCGAGCATCAAACAAAAATAACAATTTTTCCACTAGCAACAACCTTTTT